GACCTTCAGAGGTCCCTTCCAACCCAAACTATTCTATGATTCTATGATATATCTACAATAATGCACTCAGCAGAATATTAGTATATAGCAGAATATTAGTATATAAGCAAACATTAATTTATGATCACATTACTATTGCTACAGAGGCCAAACTTCAAAAAAGTATGAGTGCATGTATAAACACATTAGTATATGCAAAACGTGTATGCAAACAAAACCAAAATTTGAATCAATTTCATTTATAGCATTCATGAAATAAAACAGCAGAAAGGAGTACGTTAAAGGATCTCTTCTCACGTGAATTTCTGTTAAATGAGTCTTGCACCATTTAGTTCAGCATAGAGAACCTGAAAGAAAAAGTTATCTAGTCCATATCTGAAACAGCAAGGCAAGACTGCTCCTTTCAGCAGTCTTGATGGACAGAGTTTAAAGTATAAAAAAAATATTTTGACAACACAGTTGCAGAAGTTAAGCACTTAACAGTAGTTGTCATGCTAAAACTCTCACAGTATGGCCATAGTATAACTGACAACCTTAGCAAAAAACTTTAGTCTCCCTTGCTAGTATGGTAACAATAGCAGTGAAAAACTTGTGTGTAAGTTGAAAGAATTTAACAAGGAACACTGGCAGTTTATTAGCCTACTCTGATTCATCTTCATTACTACAATTTTTAATACAGCCTGATTAAGGCTAGAACACACACCTATGCTACAGTGACTCCTTCAATTTCTTTGTAGATAGCATACTGAACATCATTAGCACTTACATTCCTAAAAGAGAGCTCTGAAAATTCCATTATGGACTGCAGATTAACTTCTGTAACCAAAAAATACGATATACCATGCATCCAAGGAGCAGAACACAGAGTCTAATCTTTTAGGGGGTTAGGATCTCTTAGGATTTTAGGGCATTCATATTCAGGATGTTCTGTATCACTCAAGAGTGCAAAGAAAGTTTCAAAGAGGCTAGGTATGCAACTCTTCTGAATCTTCCCAAGTGCTTTGCAAAGAGGAGGCTCATACAAAATAGATGTTAACTCTGCAAATTAAAAAAAAAAAAATACTACAGCAAAAAAGAGGAGCCAACGTGGATTTTCCCCCCTCCCTATTCTGTAACACTAACAGTGTGCTGTTTCTAAAGGGCAGGTTTGTCTTTGCTCAGTGTTCTTTAAAAAGTATTCTGAAAGAAAAGCACTGTTTGTTCCACCTGCTGACTCATAAATGCATGAAAGAACATGCTACTGGAATTTCTCTTCTAGTTTTGTCTATTCTATATAGGCTCTTACACCACAATCACTGTTGCAGTACCTAAAAACTCTTCCTCAGTATTCTAAGCAATGTAACTAACATCGGTCAAGTGTCTGTTCTGTGAGTGTCCCTGTTAAGAGACATTCTCCTATTTAAGACTTGTTTTGAGACAGGTTTGTACATTCTGTACTGCACCTCAGCCAGTTACTAGCACTTTCTATTCTAAAAGACTATTTTACACTTAATGTTTTTTTTCTGCTGCCTTAATAGAATACTGATGTTTGTGTCTATTTCTCATAGAGAGTTCTGGTACCAACTGAATTTCCTTGAGAAATGGGTTTTGCTGGCAAACCTCTTGAATCTGGTACACAGTAGGAATCAACATGAGAATAATACAAGTAGTATTATTTTGGAATCTAGTCAGAAGGAATATCTCCATAAACAAATATCGGTGTCTTTAGCCACCCGAACATTACAAATCCAGGCTGGATTTTATGAAGCTTTAGCACTCTAAGTACTATGATTGCAAATGGAACCAACTGTTGCTACGGAACTAATCGTCACTACAAAATCAAAGGTTAAAACCAAGAAAGATTATTAAATCGCATTACAGGATTATCAATACCTAAGGAGAACAACCAATTAACGTTGTCTTTTCCATGTGATATGACAAGAAAAGTTGACAGCCACCCTCACTTTCTATTACAGCTAAGGACAACTGAGTTCTCAGCACCTCGTATGACCTACTTTGAACCTTTCAAGGTGAGGCAGGGTAAGATACAGAAACTTCAGTTTAGATTGTCACACACCGCATGAGCATTACACAAAAGCAGGTATAGTCACATCTCTTTCATATGTATACTCTTCTATAAGGTATGTCCTCTGTCGGTCATTGGGAATACATGTATTGCCAGCCATTTTCAAAGAGGTAATTTAGCTCTGCTACCACGTTCCATTTATCAATGCTCAGCAAATGGACAAAACACAGTAAAACTGAGGAACTATAAAACTGTATTTCCATAGTGAACATCATGACTGTTAGAATTAAGCAAATAATTTATTTTTTCCTCCTTCCAACAGAAGTAAGCATCAACTTGTGATAATATTGGCTTTAGGTCTTCTAATTCAGTTTCAAAACTTCTCTTTCCTCAGGGCTACATTTCAATAGGTCTTATGCTAAAAACTATATAACAACATATGCAGTAATATAATTATGTCATTATTGTTAATTACATAAAAATATGTTCATATTAATATTTTATACAAATTTTCCTTCTTAAACTAATGTTAAACAATGTCTGTGGCTACACCTGGCTGTTAACACAGGAGAGGCTGTTGTCATTTGGGTTAAAACTTTTTTAAAAGAATGCTACATTTTGCCAGTGTTTTGAAACAACAAAATCCCAGTCACAGTTCAGCTGAAAATTACCTTTGGGACTGGTAACTGTTTGATACTTGGTGACCAAGTTTGTTAGTGTAACCTTTCAGAAGGACAAGTCTATTTCTAGACAACACTTTACATCAATCTAATATGATGCCACCAGAATAAAATTTACACCTGGCACACCTAGTGGCTACATCCCTGTCCATTTCTGTCATTTGAAAGGGCTCCATCAGGTGTAAATTGCACAGGTAGTATTATAACACAGTATAGTTGGTGGGATTCTATGCCTCGCCTGTTGATACTGCTTAAGTAGTTTTGTTCTTTTTCATCATAAATCTGGTCTGGGAAGCTACTAACATTCCAAAACAGGTATTCTATTATATCAACCCCCCCATTTTTTAAACACACACACTGTAAAACAATTACTAGGCGAATTTATCTCTCAGTGCTGCTTTAAAAATACAGCCAATGTTAGAAAATGGTGT